AAAGAAAAAAAAGAAAAAAAAAACAAAAACAAAAACAAAAACAAAAAAAATAAAACAAAGAGTGTGTATATTTGTTTGTATTTTTTTCAGTTCTTTGTTTGTTTATGAGATCTTCCTTTTGACCAGAATGAAATCCCAAAAGCTTGTTTATAGTTTGAGTGATGGCTTGTTCCAGACATGTGATTTGCCTATCGTTTGATCAATGTTTGTTTATTAGCTTGTCCTTAAATTGCCTTCTTTTACTTGAGCGTTGACTGATTGACTTCCAACTCCATGAGTGAAAATCCCTTTGCATTAAAATATTTTCGACACCCGTGAGGTAAATAATAACACCCCGAAGAATTAAATGAGATTGATTAAAGTAATTGAGATTTATTAGTGTGCCTGATCTGAATTAATTAATTGGTTATTAATTCATAAATGTTTCTTACGTGTAAATTTAAATAATTCTAAGGTATTTAAATATTCTCAGTATTTACATTTTTACCCAGAAGTGTATATGGGCACATTCCTGGACTGTTATTTTAAAATAATTGGACACCTATTTTCATTTTCTTTTTCCTTTTCTCTTTCTTTTCTTTCCCTTCCCGTGCACTCTTTCTCTCACTCTCACTCTCACTTTCTCTCTCCCATTTTTGTCTCAAACCAACCGGATTTCGAACCAAAAAAGGATTTCAAGAAGTTTTCAATGCCAAGAGAATGATTCGAGGTAAGGTTTCTGAAAAACTTCTCTTGAATCTTAGATTTTCGGATTTAAAAACTTATTTTTGGTTCGAAATGGATTTTGAGTAAAACTATGGTAGAAATTAGAGATCTTGGGTTCTTTGGACTTGATTTAGTGCCTAAAACCCAGATCTAGTGGTTGTCCCTTGAGATATTGTGATTTGGGACTGGATTTGCAGGTTTTCGGACTGATTTTGTGAGTTTTCTCGCACTGGTATTCTTCACAGGTCAACCGGATTGCATTGACCTGACCGGTCGACCTGTTCGGTCAACCGGATTGCACACCACCGGCCAACCGGTGGTGTTGCACTGTTCTGTCACCGGTCGACCGGTGTACATGGGGTTTGACCCCATTTGGCCTGAAAATGTTGTTTTGAACTCTGTTTTCGAGGAGAATCCAAATTAGCTTCGTTTGGGGACCTATAATGAATGAATTAACATATTTAATCCATGTTTTAAGATTGAAAACCCTTGGAATGATGATTTGAAACATGAAATTGTTTGTGAAACCGGTAATTGAGTCAAGGCACACTAATAGGAAATCAAAAGGATATAATTGAGTTTGAATTACTTTAGGAATGAGATTGAGATCCTAAAGTGTTGTTTGCATCAGTGCTAGCTGAGGACTCGGATTGAGTGGCTTGAGGAAGCGGAAGCCGGAATAGTGCACCGCTAGCCACAGGTTTGATAATTATGAGGTAGGATTTCTTACCATTTTCCTTGTGAGCATGATTTTAAAAGAGTTTTGGCATTACAAATGTTTTAAAGAAAAGAGATTGTTTGCGAAAGAAAAATATTTGAAAACCATGGCTTGTTGTAGTTCATGGAACCCACGGCTTGTTGTAGTTCATGGGACCCACAGCTTGTTGTAGTTCGTGGGAATTATAATAAACGATTTTCAGAAAATTTAATGAATGATTTCTTAAGATAAGAGATCTTACGAACCGGTAAACTGGCTGATGACCAAGATAGGATGTGGAGAGTGTATCCTTGGGGGCAGGACCCGAAACTCCGAGGGTGATATGGCTTGTGCACGTGGATGTGTAAGTAATTTATCTCAGTATAAATTACTTGTTGATGCATGTAATACGGTGATTTTCAGTTATATTTCCTTTGAGAAAAAAGATGTGAGGTTCCGGTTATTGTGTTGGAACTGAATGTCTTATTCATTTACTCGCTCATTTATTTATTCATTTATTTATAAAGTTATTTCAAATTATATCCTACTGGGCCTTTCGTTCACGTTTTGTTGTTATATATATATATATATATATATTAAACCCTTCCCAGGAAATTCTAGAAGCAGTGCGGAGTAGCTGAGTTAGATTGCTACCATCTTGGGTTAGGGAGGATTGTGTTCATCCTCTTGGATAAATGTAAGAATTTGTAAACTCTAATATTTGGATTTCTAGACTGTGGATGATGTGTGTAATGTTTTATTTACATGTCATGTATGTACGATAATGAAGATCCTGTGGATAGGTCCTGTAATGCAATTTATTTTAATCAAGTGTGGAGCTCGTTGGGAATTTCCTTTATTATCACGCGTTTAACCCCTAATCGAGCTCCACGTCACCGACCCTTGCTTCGGGGCGTGACATAAATGGAGTTGAGACTTTTTCTTGGTGAATTTTCGATGTTATTTGTGTTATGAACTGTGGTAAGAGGGATACGGTTTAGTGCACACACACACAACTCAGGAGTTATGACTAAAGTAATTTTGAAAGCATTTTCTGATTACTTACTAATGTTTTGTTTGATTGCTTAGGTGATTTTGCTTGTTTTGATTTGAATTTTTGGTTTGACATGATGTTTCTTTTGCTTGAATTGCTAGAGACTAGCAATAAGCTGGTTGGGGGTTGTGATAAGTGCATGAAAATGTATTTAAATTGTTCATAATTGCTAAATAAATTAAGTTTTAATTAAATATTTTCGTTGAATTAATTTTATGTATAAGTATTTGATTTGATTTTAATTTAATTTGTTTTGTAGGGAAATAAGACATTTGGGCCAAAACTAAAAAGAATTAAAAGAAGGAAAAGGCCCATTAAGAAGCCCATCAAAAGACACCATTAGCCTATCAGCCAGCCGTCCGAGCCGAGCCGAGCCCAAGCCGCACCTTTCTCTACGCCATGTGTCGAAGTCTGGCGTGCCGCAGACGTGTGGGGCCCAGCTGTCCCCTTGCGCACGCGCGCTTGGCGCGCACCGCCCTCCCCATGCGCGAGTCTCCTCCACATACGCGTCACCCGGTTCTCTTTTCTTTTCCATATGGGTCCTGCCTTGCAGCAGCTTTCCAATGAATTCCCGCCACGTGTCCCTAACGGAAGCAGTGTCGGCCACTTCTTCCTCTCCGCAAATCAGCGCACGCCACGTGTCAGAATTGAACCCAACTGTTAGCAATTTTCTCCTCTCAATCCCTCTTCGCGCGACACGTGTCCCACCCGTTTGGGATTCTTCAGCCAACGTTCTGTTTTGTTCCGTTGGGATAGTTTCAGCATTCACTCTCAAAATAAAGCCTTGTAAATCTAATTTAATTGGATAAAACGCTTTCTTTCTTTATTTTTGTTTCTTTGCTGAATGCCTTTTGGCATGGCCTAAAAACTCTATAAATAGGGCCTTTGTTAAGTGTATTAGGTTGTTGAATTCTAGCTTAAATTTTTACATTTTTTTTCTCTCATTGTCTTGCTCTTATTTTCATATTTTCTCTTTAGAATTTTATGGGAATTATGTGCAAGCTAGGCTAGAGTATTTAGGTGAGGCTAGAGATGATCCTATATGTGTAGTGAGTTTGTTTGGATTTTGATTCTCCAATGGTTTGTAAATTTTATACATTTGAGTAAATAATTTTCTTTTATCATATTACTTCCTCATATCAATATATTTTATTGTCAACTTTTATATAAATCTAGTCAAACTCTTTTTATGTGATTGTTGCATGATATTATATATTGATATATATTGTTTTATGAGTAGTCTTTTACTGCAATATTGCCAACGGTATATTGTCACTTTTAGATTTCTCATAAGATAATATTTCCTAGTTCTAAACATAAGAATTTTATTTACTTGAATACATTTTTATTCACAAGTTCTTCAAATATTTATTTTCTGATTGATTGTTTGGGATGTGAAACTTTCAATTGAGTCAATTTACGAATCAAAATCCAAATAGGTGAACAAAGCATATAGAGGATTCTCAATGTCTTACCACTTTTAATTATTGAATTTTCTCCATTTTAAATTGTTCAAAAAATCATCAAAAACACTCATTTCTCTTCTTTGTTTGATTGCTTGCTTTCCTAGCGCTTTTCTATTTGCTAATAGTTCATTGTTCAATTTATCACCTCCTCGTGGGATCAACCATCTTAATTGTACTATAATTGATCGCTTATTTTTGTAGACGTTTGGGCGTAATCATAGGCACATCAAAGGCCGGTGGCAATTAGTTTTAGGTTTTAGCGATCTTCTTGTGCGCGGATCTCTTATGCGAGAGATTTTCTGGTTCGCCGTGGCGGCGACTGTAGATCTCCTCCTAGTGAGCTAGTGAGGAGGGCCCCACCTGCTGACATGATGACGCAATTGTCTCCGTTCTTCCTGCTGGACGCGACTTAGCCTTCGCGTGGAGTGCACACGCCTATCCCAACTGCACATCGTGATGATCCAATGGTCCAAAATGTTCCGAATTTTGTTGTTATTATTATTATTGTATTTATTTATTTTAGACTAATTTGTAATCTAAGGGGATATTTGTTTATTGTATTCTTCCTTGATTTTGAATTATGATTTATGGTTATCTATAGTGTTTTTCTCTTATAAAAAATACGTAAAATGAGAATGATTCTGAATCATAATTCTAAATTTATGAACCAAACGTCAATTAATTTTATCCATTTTTACACCTTTTTCACCAAATAAAATAAAATTAAAGTTAAACAAAAATACACTAAACAAATAAAATCACACTAAATTAAATAATACAAAATAAAACTAATTAAAAAACCAATAAAATAAATTAAAATCTTTTTTCTTTTTTTTTTAAGATCTTTTTTTTTTGTCTTTTTTCTTTATTTTTTTTAAAGAAATTTACGTAACCATTATTTTAAATAAATCACAGTCTAGTAAAATAAAAATGAGGAAAGCACGACACGTTGAAAGAGGAACGGGGAGGAAACGACAAAAAAGAAGGAAAAAAAAAAAAAAACAGATAAGCAACGCAACAAACGCAAGAAAGCATCAATTTAATTTAATTTAATTTAAGTTAAGTTATTTACTAACAACGATATTCTTTCTCTTCTATCTCACTCATTTTCTGTTTGTTTCCCGAGATTCTTCGCGAGCGAAGTCCTGGCGAACCGTCTTTGAATCGTTGTTCTAGAGAGAAACAGCTTGCGGAGAGAGAGAGAAAGGAATGCCAATTGACTACCGCGGCTTAGGGCAGGAAGGAGGAGGAGCTATAGTCTCTGGAGAGAAGCGCTAGGGTTTTTTTTTTTTTTTTTTTTTTTTTAGAAAGAGAAAATTTCTTTTTTGGAGCAAACCTGGGGAGCGAAGGCTCTGGCTTGAGTCGGTGCTTCTGTTGCGCTGATTTGCTGGTGCGGTTCTGGTGCACTGGTAGCTCTGACGGTATGGATATCGATTCGCCTCCCGAATCTGCGCCTACTTCTCTCAAGCCTCGTGATCGAATCGTTCGGGTATGGCGTTTCTGATTTTTCGTTTTCTTAAATATCTCAGCTCTGGTTGTTCTATGTGTTGGTCTCAGTTCAGTTTATTTCTCCTTTTATCGGTTAAGATTGTTCAATTCGTCTTGTTATTGGTGTGATGAAGCTTTTCGACGACAATTTACGGCTTTAGTCGTTGTTCAATAAGCGAAAATGAGAAATTCTGTTTGAAATATATTCTTATGTATTGTATGTGTGATTATATGTGTAGCTAGTGAATATTTCTATTTCTTTAGCGAAGAAATAAAATTGTATTTGTGTTGTGTGATTTATGTATATTGGGAGTGTGAATTTTGCTTCTTTTAGCAAAAAAAAAAAAAAAAAAAAAAAAAAAAAAGGAAAAAAAAAAAAAAAAAAAAAAAAAAAAAAAAAGAGGAAAAAGAAAAAAGAAAAAAGAGGGAATTTTGCTTTTCTGTACTAACGGAAATGAAAATGTGTTGCTTTTTCAATTTACCAGAGGCTTGCAGTAGTAGGAGTCTTTGAGGAATTACTTGATCAAAACCAGCGTGGTCTGGTTGCTTTTGTTAAGGATAATAAAGCTCGGATACCGGAGGTGGTGTCGGCTGTCTTGCCAAGTGATGAAGACGTGGCTGAATTTATCAGTGAAGCTAAGCCCGGGTCTCGAAGACAGTCATTGGCACCGACCATGAAAAACCGGTTCCGTGAGAGTATCTCATGGTTGCAATGGCTGATGTTCGAGGGCGAACCAGTCTCTGCCTTGAGGAAGCTTTCAAGATTGAGTGTCGGGCAGCGCGGTGTGTGCGGGGCTGTTTGGGGTCAGAGTGATATTGCATATAGGTGTAAAACGTGCGAGCATGATCCAACTTGTGCAATATGCGTTCCATGTTTTCAGAACGGGAACCACAACAACCATGATTACTCGGTTATTTATACGAGTGGCGGTTGCTGCGACTGTGGGGATGTGACAGCATGGAAAAAAGAAGGCTTTTGCTCGAAGCATAAAGGTGCAGAACAGATACAGCCTCTTCCGGCGGAGTTTGCTGATTCTGTAGGGCCCGTTCTTGATGCTCTTTTTAATAGTTGGAGAAAGAAGCTATTGCTTGCAGAAACTACCAGTCAGGAAATCACTAGGACAAGTGATCGTGTTACAGAGTGTAAGAAGAGTGCAAGTGAGCTTACCTTTGTGATTGTTGAGATGCTTTTGGAGTTTTGTAAGCAGAGTGAGAGTTTGCTTAGTTTTATTTCAAAGAGAGTTTGCTCATCATCCGGTTTATTGGAGATTCTAGTTAGAGGAGAAGGTTTCCTACACGAGAGTGTTGTGAAAAAGCTGCACGAGTTGCTTTTAAAGTTGCTGGGAGAACCTACTTTTAAGTATGAATTTTCTAAAGTATTTCTAAGTTATTACCCAACTGTTGTAAGTGAAATTGTGAAAGAGTGCAACGATGGTGGTATGAAAAAACATCAATTGCTTTCTATATTTTCCGTGCAAATCTTCACAGTTCCAACTCTAACTCCTCGCCTTGTGAAGGAAATGAACCTACTGTCTATGCTGTTGGGATGTTTAGGAGACATTTTCTTTTCTTGTGCTAGTGAAGACGGTCGTTTACAGGTGATGCACTGACAATTGCTTCTGTTTATGCTTGCTGGATTTTGAACATGATTCTATTCATTTCCACATGCATTATTTGATGTGCTATGCTTTTTGATACTTGGTCTTTCTATTAGCTAAGTTAAAATGGCTGTTCTAGATGTTTATCTTCCAGCCAGAATAATTATTGCTCAATGAATACCATCTCCAAGAAAGGCTAATAAGAAATCGTTAACTATTATCCCCACATTATGCCAGCTGAAAGTAAAGAGAGAGAGAAAAATAGAGAGAATGAGAAGGTAATTCAGGGAGAAATTCTTGATAATCAATGTCATAATTTAAGTTCTAAATTTAAAATACAATGACTAGTCATATTTATAGGGAAAATAACATAATAAGGAAACAAGTCAAACAACAATGAGATAAACTTAACCGAACCCGGATAAGAATAAAAAATTCATAGGATAGAAAACTCAAATCTAAACCTTATAATTACGATTACCATAAGTAATTAATCTAGTATTATGATCTCTATCTCCAAATATGGTTCATTATTCATTATTGTCATTTTGATATATTGCATTTTTTTTTCCTTGAATGGTTAATACTGTCTTTAATTACGTTTATTGCAAATAATAATGATGATGATGATGCCCGCAGAAATCAAGGAAATTCCATGTCTATGTATTAGTAAATTGCTGTTTTAATTGCATTCCATCAAATACTAATAGTACTTCCCCAACGTTTCTTGGGTTCCACAGTTCCACTATTAAGCAAAATTATAATGGATGTTGACCTCTTATTGATATCATCTTTTTTGTCAGTGTTGTATCTCAGTTATATTGTTATAAAGGAAGGGGGAAAAACACTAGCCAGTCATAGTAACAAAGTAATGACTTAAACCTTCAAAAAAAAAAAAAAGGAGAACAAAAGTATGCTGTTGATATTACTCCATACTCTTATTAAAGCGCTTAAAACCACAGTAGAAGGGGGGAAAAGAAAGAGCTCTAGAAACCTTGTGTTAATTTTCAGTATATTATTTAGTCTGAATTAAACCGTCTGGTGTTCTTCATCCTTAGCAACGTTATACTGGTGCTTCTTGTCTGTTTGTTTCTTCTTTTGTTATTCTTTACGGTTTTTTATTTTTATTTGCTCTTTAACTTTTGTCTTGTAAGTTTCGGAATCTGTTTCTTGGCGTTTATGATTTACCTACAAGTTTCTTTTCTTTTATTCTCTTTCTATTTAAATGATTTCCCCTCTCAGGTTGCTAAGTGGGGGCGTTTGAATGAGATCACCCTTCGCGTGGTTGAAGATATTCGATTTGTTATGAGTCATGCTGTAGTCCCCAGTTATGTAACTAAAGACCAGCAAGATGTCACAAAAACTTGGTTGAGACTCTTGACTTATGTGCAAGGGATGAACCCTCAAAAGAGAGAAATGGGGCTCCATATTGAAGATGAAAATGAGTATATGCATTTACCGTTTTTGTTGGGTCATTCTATTGCCAACATTCACTCTCTCTTGGTGGATGGGGCATTTTCTGTTGCTAATGAAGAGGCAGATTATGAGATCGTTCTTAAGACATATGAGCAAGATACAGATGGAGACAACCTAAGACATTCAAAGGTAGGACGTCTCTCACAGGAAAGTTCTGCATGCAGTGCAATTGGCAGGAGTTCATCTGTGTCAACACCAAATGCCGAGGATAAATTAGATTATTTTTCCAATGCCTTAATTCCCCCATCAGTGACATGCTTGACACATGAGTGCTTGAGGGCTATTGAGAATTGGTTAGCTGTTGATAATACATCCGGGGCTTTACTTGGTGCATGGTCTCCGAGTACAAGTAACATCTGTAGTAGCAACTTTTCAGCTTTGAGGAAAACGTTGACCAAGTTTAGAAAAGGCAGATACATACTTGGTAAATTGGCTGGTTTAAGTGAAGACCAAGGCGGGCAAGGTTCTTCACATGTACATAGTGGTTTCCGCTTTAGTGTTAACTCGCAGAATGGGAAAAGTACAGGGCTTGTTATTGGTGAAAGTGGTTCAGTTAATGCCCAAACACCTGCAAGCTTTGATGATAGTGCAGTCGAAGGACATGGTGCGATGGACTTGGATGCTCTACGTGTTTTAAGTTTGTCAGATTGGCCAGACATAGTATATGATGTTAGTTCGCAGGATATTTCAGTTCATATTCCGTTACATCGTTTTCTGTCTTTGCTTCTACAGAAAGCATTGAGAAGATGTTTTGGTGAATCTGTAGTACCAAATATTGTTACTGCTAGTTCTCCATTGATGTTGTCGGCAATCCACACTGATTTTTTTGGACAAATTCTCAATGGCTGTCACCCTTATGGGTTTTCTGCATTTGCTATGGAGCATCCTTTAAGGATTAGGGTATTTTGTGCTGAGGTTCATGCTGGAATGTGGCGGAAGAATGGGGATGCTGCTTTGTTATCTTGTGAGTGGTACCGTTCAGTACGGTGGTAAGTGTATTTACATAATACTTGTTTAAGGTGGAGAAAGTGCACAAGCGTGCGCACACACACACATCAGAGAGGTCACATCATGTAATGGTGGTACTTATTTCTCTCTCTTGTTTGCTTTACTGCAGGTCTGAGCAAGGTTTAGAGCATGATCTTTTTCTATTGCAGTGTTGCGCTGCAATGGCTCCAGCTGATCCTTACATTCATAGAATTCTCGAACGCTTTGGTCTGTCGAGCTATCTCTCTTTGAATCTTGAGTGCTGCAGTGAGTACGAACCTGTATTAGTGCAAGAAATGCTTACTCTTATCATACACATAGTTAAGGAGAGACGATTCTCTGGGTTAACTAAAGCTGAAAGTTTGAAACGAGAATTGATTTACAAGTTAGCCATTGGTGATTTCACTCATAGTCAATTAGTGAAATCTTTGCCTCATGATCTCTCCAAATTTGAGCAGCTCCAGGAAATCTTGGATGCCGTTGCGGTGTATTCTAATCCATCTGGATTCAATCAGGGCACCTATTCACTACGGTGGACATTTTGGAATGAGCTAGATTTGTACCATCCTCGTTGGAACTCTAGGGATCTGCAAGTAGCAGAAGAAAGATATTTACGGTTTTGCGGTGCTTCAGCATTAACTAGTCAGTTGCCCAGGTGGAGTAAGGTTTATCCTCCTCTCAAGAGGATAGCTAAAGTAGCTACTTGTAGGGCAGTCCTCCAAATTATTCGTTCTGTTTTGTTCTATGCTGTTTTTACCGACAGAACAACTGAATCACGTGCTCCAGATAGTGTTCTTTTAGCTTCGTTGCACTTGCTTTCATTATCATTGGACATATGTGTTCAACATAGGGAATCTAATGATCTGTCCTGTTATGACGGGGATTCAATTCCCATGCTAGCTTTTGCTGGAGAAGAAATTAATGAGGGGTTAAATTATGGTGCTGGCGAACAAAGTTTGTTGTCACTTCTTGTTTTATTGATGAGGATGCATAAGAACGAAAATCCAGAGAACTTCTTGGATACTGGAAGCTGCAATCTTTCTTCTTTAATTGAAAGCTTGTTGAAGAAGTTTGCTGAAATTGATCCTGGATGCATGGCCAAACTGCAACAACTTGCACCTGAAGTGGTTAGTCATCTTTCACAAGCCTTTCCCAGTGCCGATGTAAATACCTCAAAGTCGGCTTCTGACAGTGAGAAGCGCAAGGCAAAAGCAAGAGAGAGACAGGCTGCAATATTAGAAAAAATGAGAGCTGAGCAAGCTAAATTTTTGGCTAGCATTGACTCCACTGTGGATGATGGTTCAAAATCTGATCAAGAAGCTAGTCACCCTGATGTTGAAAATAAACCAGAAGAGTCCACACAAATTGTTTGCTCACTTTGTCATGACGCTAATTCTGAAAGCCCGGTATCATTCTTGATTCTTCTCCAGAAATCAAGGCTTTTGAGTTTTGTTGATAGAGATCCCCCTTCTTGGGAACATCCCCCTAAATTAGACGAGATCGCTATGGCCATGAACAAGAGGACTGAGCGACCTGGAGTAGACACATTTTCAAGTGGTTTTGGACCAATGCCTTCTTCTGAGTTGGCACAGTTTGTTCAGAATGCAGCGACAGAATTTGCCTCTTACGCCCAGCCTAGTGAAAGGGTTAATTTTCTAGAATTTCTCAAGGGTCAGTTACCTGAATTAGGGATCCAAGTGCCAAGCGTAGCACATTTGGAGAAGGAGAGGACTGTTCATCTGTTTGAGACGTCAGAAGAAGATATGTACCTCTCTATTCAAAGAGAAGTGCAAGAGAATACGGTGTCTTCCAGTTTTGGGAAAGATGTGAAGCTTTTAACTACTGAGGAGAGTTTAGCGAGAAGGAAACTTGCTGACTCTTTGTTCCTTGGAAAATATGTAGCTTCGTTTTGGAGGGGGATGGAAGAAACTCCATCAGCTTCTGATAGTTCCCGTGTAGATAGGGGGGTAAAAGAGTCTATGCAGCTTCCAGCATATGATGGATTTGGCCCAACGGATTGTGATGGAATTTTTCTTTCTTCTTGTGGACATGCTGTGCATCAAGGATGTCTTGATCGGTATTTACATTCTCTAAAAGAAAGGTACATCCATAAGGAGAGAAATATAGTTTATTACACTTTTATTACATAGATAAAAATCAGAAACAAAACAAGTACTTTTTGAGCCACTCTTCTTCTTTTTTTTTTATATATAAGAAACAAAGAACTTCATTAAAATATTAAATTACAAATGAAGTTCTCAGATGGATGAGAAAGCCAACTGAAACAAAAAGCAAATAAATAACAAGAGGAGAACAAAACAAAAAGCTATTGAGCTAAATACAAGACAGGTCTAAAAAGACTATCTTAGCATGCCATCCCAGCTTAACAGAATTAGGGATAGTGAGAATTGACTAAACTTGAAGCCCATATAGAAGCTAGGTATTTTGCATTCTCAAATAAATCCTCAAATAGCATTTCTTTTCCTTCGAAAATCCTCTGATTCCTCTCCCACCAAATAACCCAGAGAATAGCTAAAATCATTGAACGCCAAATTGTCTGGGCCTTCTTACTCTTGCCAAAACCAACCCAATCCTCCACCAGAATTGAATTACTTTGAGCCACTCTCAAAACACAATATTCCTGAAGGGAAATCTTGAATAGCCTGTGAAAGAACGTCTAGGACTCTCGAGGAGTTCTGTTTTGTATGGAATACATGTTTTTCTTGATTTGTATGGAATACATGTTTTTCTTGATTTGTATATAATACATGTTTTTCTTGATCCTTATGCTAGTTTCAACAGAGAGATGCTGCCCTACTTTTATTGCATTCTCTAACAAGGTCCTTGTAGAAACACTATACATCAGTATTAACAGAACTCTCTTTCTCTATTATTGAATTACCATTTAGGACCTCAATTGGAATTAGACCTCTTTCTCTGTAATTGATTACCCAAACTTAAGGCCTTGGAATTCTCGCAACTTGTTGCCTTATAATTGGTCCAACTACTGCTCTCTAATTAATAACCACAGCACTAGACTGATATTTTGACTTCTTTGATCGTTACTTTACAACATGACGGATCTTTTGACTTTTGACCAAAAGGAACAAGTTTCTATGTTATTCCTACAAAGTATATTTCCGTCAATCTTAAGATTCTGTTAGTTGATTCTTTTTCACCTTGGTTTAGTATTTGGAAGGTGCAGGATAAATTTGTTAATTCTGTTTATCACTTTATATTGACGTCTTTGGAGTTAGGATTATCAATGCCTTCTGGCTATATGGATTGATCAGAACAATGACAGAAGCAAAAGAAACTTGCTGCAGTAAAGATATGATAATTTAGAAAATGTTATGATTTCTGGTCACAAGTGATGGCCTTTTCAGTTAGTCTTGGAAGCTACTGTGTAACAAGACTTATCAAATTAAGGATTTGAAGTATTCATAGAATTATGTCTTGAAGCTTGCTTAGGTCGTGCATAAACTTGGAATGATATTTATTCCATCTATATTTTTATCCCTTTTTTATGCTTGCACGGATATGCTGATAACAATAATTCCTGTCTTTTATTTTTTATTTTTATAGTATTTTATTTTATCGTTATTATTATTATTATCATTATTATAATTATTGTTATTGTTATTATTTTTTGCAATCGCTAATTTGATGCTTGTATGGATATGCTAATGACCGAAACATTTCTAAATAGAGAATAATTTATGAAATATGTCTGCTGTTTTGCAATAATATAATGTCTTGTTGAAGGCCTTTGATTGTTTTTCATATGTTCACGCAGATTTGTCAGAAGAATTGTGTTTGAAGGAGGACATATTGTAGATCCAGATCAGGTATGTCTGTCTTATATATTATATCTATGAAATTTCCAGTTTTTCACTTATGAAGGTGTTTCATTCTCTATTTATTTTTTGTCAGGGGGAATTCCTTTGTCCAGTATGTCGTAGGCTTGCAAATTCTATTTTGCCTGCATTACCTGGTGAATCCCAGAAGATTTTAAAGCAGCCTCATGACTCAAGTGCTCGTTTACCACATGCTCCTGGTCCTTCGTACAAATCAAGTGAAGAAATTAATTTGCTTCATCTTCACCAAGGCTTGGCTCTTTTACAGTCTGCAGCCAATGTGGCTTCTAGTGTTGAAAGCCTTAATAAATGCTTCCCCCATCAAAATTATCAAAGAATAATAGGTCCAAATCTGCAACCTGTGTCCCGTGTGCTCTCCAAAATGTATTTTTCAAGTAGACAAGACAAGTTCTTAAGGTCTTTGAGGGTCAGCCCCCCATTGCTTATGTGGGACGTGCTCAAGTATTCCCTCCAATCAATGGAAATTGCCGCCCGATGTGGAAGAACACATACGACTCCTACATATTGCCTTGATGCCTTATACAAGGAACTCGAGTCCTCGAGTGGATTTATGTTGTCCTTGTTGCTGAAAGTTGTACAAAGCACACGGCGTGAGAATTCTGTTCTTGTGCTTCAAAGATTTGGAGGTATTCAAAGCTTTGCATACTCCATTTGCCCTGCTGGTTCTGTGGATCATAATGGCAACGCATGTGGACCAGGTACTGTATTCAGTAGAATGACCTTGACTGTTTAATTAGCATCATTGCTTTATAACTGTCTTATATCTGCCCTGTATATCACAAGGCATTTTTCTTTTCTTTAAGTTAAGCTAGAATTCCAGGTTAGCTCATAACAGTCCACTCCTTTTGTGAATTATCATGTTAATCGAGGTGCTTGCAATGATTAACATGACGTAATACTATTTGGAGAGGCTAGAGCTCTGGAATTACTTGTGAAATACCTTGAAATGAGAGTCAAAGGCTTGAAACTGTTGGGATCCTACCACTTTGCTTCTTTTGCCATGTATACTTGAGTAATAGTTTATAACTTTACAAATGTCTAAGTAAACAGGTTTGTAGCTGAAGGTTTTGAGTACTACATAAATCGTGTTCAAAACTTCTTATGTCATGGGAATGCTTACCATGATTTGGCCTTGAAAATATTTGGGTTAATCTCACAAATAGTCCCTGGGGTTCTCTCTCAAATCGCACTTTGGTCCTTAACTTTTAAAATATCCCACAGCTGGTCTCTGAGGTTTTACTCCATTTCAGTTTTGGCCCTTCTGTTAACTAGGTGTTAAATATTTGATGGAATCTTTGTAAATTGTGGGAGCAAAATTGGAAACATTTTAAGTTTAAGTACTATTTGTGGATTTTTTTTTTTTGGGGTATTGTTTTAGTCTCTAAACTTTAGTGCCGTGTTTGGAATTGTTCTTGTTTTTGTTTTTCACGTTTTTTGAGAAAAATAATGAAAACGATTCTAAAACGGTGTTTGGCACAATCAAAGACAAAAAACAAAAATGAAAACGATTTTTTAGTTTAGTGTAAAATGGGAGAGAAATGAAAAATGACTTTTAGTCGTTTTTCATTTTTTTTTTATTTTCTCCTCTCTCGAGCAGAGAGAGAGAGAGACATTAATGGATTTTTTTATACTGAAAACAATCTTTTGATAAAACTACTAAATGCATTTTCAAAAATGATTTCTGTCTAAAATTGAAAACGTTTTCATTTCCATTTTCATACAAAAAACAAAATCATTTTGGAACGAATTCCAAACACACCCTAGATGTTTCTAATTTTAGTCCTTAATTTTCACAGATTCCATCAAATATTAACACATAGCTAATGGAAGGTCAAAAACTAAAACATAATAAAACCTTAGGGACCAACTATGATATGTTTTAAAAGTCAAGGACCAATCTGGAATTAAGGTCAAACCTCAGAGACCATTTGTGGGATTAATCTAAAATATTTTTATGACGTCTTCATATGTATATGGAGAGCTCTTTTTTATTTATTTATTTTTTATATAAGAAAAAGCCTTTATATTGATGATGAATCAAATACACGGAGGAGAGGATGAGAAATCCTGAAAAAATAAAAATAAATAAGACAAAAACAAAAGCAAAAAGCAAACACCACGCACGTGCACACGCATATACATACGATAAAATTTGTTATGGCTATGTTTATATATACGTATTTCAGTAATGAAATTTTTATTAGTTGCCGATTTTTTTTTTTAAGTTAATTTTACATTCTATCAGTGTATTTGATCTCTCCCATAATCTTCTTTGTAGGTAATTGGCTACGTTTCTTGAACAATATTGATAAGGATGTATCCTATCCTGATATTCAATTCTGGAATAGAGCTTCTGAGCCTATCCTTGCCCGTGATCCTTTTTCATCCTTGATGTGGACCCTCTTTTGTCTTCCATACCCATTTTTATCATGTCAGGACTCCCTGTTACATCTCATACATGTCTTCTATGCTGTCTCTGTAGTTCAGGTACATGCACTTATTGCTTACTGGTGATTGTGATGGTTGCTCAAGTCTGGTGTTCTAATCCATTATGTTGAATGCAGGCTACAATCACGTACTTTGGGAAACATCAAGGCAATATAAGTGAGTTTGATGGTCATGATTGCTTGACTACTGACATATTAAAACTCATGAAAGAATCTAGATTTGCTCAGCAATACTTTGTTTCAAACTATTCTGGTCCGTCTGGTGATATTAAGAGTGTGATTCGGAGATTGACTTTCCCTTATTTACGGAGGTGTGCATTGCTTTGGAAACTACTGACCTCCTCTGCCCGAGCACCATTCTATGATAGGGATAACGCGTTGGATAGAACTCAATCAATCAGTGACTTGATAGATAGCACTGACAGTGGATGGATGGAGCTCAATGAAGTTGAAAGGCTGGAGAACATGTTCAAGATACCCCCTGTAGAATTTATGCTTAAGGATGAACTGCTTCACTCTCTTTCATCACAATGGTTGAAACACTTTAGCAAGGAGTTTGAAGTCCAAAGATTTCGAAGAAATATACATTGCAACCCTGTAGTACCATTCCAGTTGATGCATTTGCCACGCATATACCAGGATCTATTGCAGAGGTCAGTTTTGTTGCTTCTCTGAGTATTACTTGCAAGAAAATATCATAAAATTTGAAACTCATGCGCATAAAATGTGTTTCATCAGGTGTATAAAGCAGTCTTGTCCTGACTGCAACAAAGTTCTTGATGAGCCTGCCTTATGCCTGCTTTGTGGTAGATTATGCTCTCCAAACTGGAAGTCCTGTTGCAGGTTTATGTTCTATCCCTCTTTTCTTTCTTTTCTATTTTTCCTTCCACGCAAATATTTAATATTTAACCTTCTGATGCATATATTTCATGCACATGATCATTATCCCTATGTATGGCTTGTTGATGTTTCATTATTTGCGTACCTAGGGAAAGTGGATGTCAGACTCATGCTATGGCCTGCGGTGCTGGTACTGGAATATTCCTGTTGATTAAGGTATATATTCAAGCGTATTCGGTGGAAGCCTTTATTTAATCTACCATGGCTTGTGTATTGGGAACACATTTCTGACTTTAGGCTTTCGGTCTTATGGGAATTGACTAATTTTCTTAATTTATGGTAGAAAACAACAATTCTACTGCAGAGGTCAGCTCGCCAGGCTCCGTGGCCATCACTCTACTTGGATGCTTTTGGTGAAGAGGTAACTAGGTTTTCGTAGTAATGATAAACTGCAAAGTGACAGTATATTGTATCACAATGTGTTGTCTCCTGTGTATCACCATACTTCTTTGGTCTATTATAATCAGTTTTTCTACTTGCAGGACATCGAGATGCATAGAGGGAAGCCTTTGTACCTGAATGAAGAACGTTATGCTGCTTTAACATATATGGTAATGCAAGAAGCTTTGTCCTTTTCCTAGTTTTTATTATGTTTTTTACTTTTTTTTTTAATTATATAAAATGATTAACATTCGGTTACAGAACTCAACAAACTTTAAAGTGTTTGTGGGAACCTTGATTTTTCAGTTTCATATGAAAGTTTCTCCTTAGGACTTTCGCAATATATTCTTCTCTTAGAAATGTTTTTCTACTTGTGGTTTATTGTTGTCTCACGGTTTGTAATACATGAACTTACATGGTAGGTGGCTTCTCATGGCCTTGATCGAAGTTCCAGGGTTCTTGGGCAAACTACTATTGGTTCTTTCTTCATGGTTTAGTTTAGCCTTCCTGTAAGATTTTTTCCCACCCTTTCTTTTTTGCATGTCACTCTTAGTCCAGTGGATATGAGTCTGTTCTGTTACTGATGCTGAATTGTTGATCTCAATTTCTCAGGCAAATTGATTGAGATTTTGGATTACAAATGATTATTTGCAAGTTGAACATGGTAAAAAAAAAATTCCGTGTTTTCCTCCGTCATACAGGGATCTTGGTTCTATGTTTGACTTGTAATATGGCGTGTACAGCTCCTTGAGGTCAGTTTTCTAGAAATGTCTATGATTGAACTGTTTAATTTTGCCGCCCCTTATCTTTTATGAACGTTAGTATGTCTATAGGTTAACATTGACATGCCAATATTGAGTATCTTCTTTCTTCTTTTACTGAAAATAAATAAATAAAATGAAATAAAATAAAATAAAATAAAAAATCTAAGTGTATGTTTGGTATATGGGTTCTGTTACAGTGCAAACCCATGGTTTTGATTCTGCTACAGTGTTTTTCTCTCACAAAATTTGAATTTCAAAAGTCATAATCAAGAACTCTGGTCCCATATACCAAATGAGCCCTAAAGTTTGAAGTTGTGAACACTTGGAAAAGTGGAATGTTTTATTATGACAAACTGTAGGACTTACTGGCGACATTATAGGTTTTAACAATAAAAACCAAAATAAGATATTGGGGAAGGCTTATGGATCGCTGTATTTATCTTTTCTAGTGAAATGTAACTATGTCATGGAGATCAAGATATATTACTGTTGTATAAATATAAATAAAACAAAAATAAAAAGATAATATATATTAGGTTTAGAATATCCCCTTGGGCCCGTAAGCATTGCAGGTAGAACTGTGATTAGTAAAATGCCCAAGCTCAAGCAAACGTTTAAAGAGACTGTAGATGTGTTTATTTGCTTGATCTTTCTACGAAAGAGATCTACCTTTTTCTGCTGGCAAAAAAAAACCTGGCCACCTCTTGGTGATTAGCAGGACGCCCAGGCTATTTTCATTTCAATCACTAGTCAGAGAACGAAGCCCGTTCTTACCACAAGCTTTTAAGAATATATCTGACTCTCCGTCACTAAGTGGTCTTTTGCGGTTTTGACATATCACCTAGATTTTCGTCGCATATCAGTGTTGGGTGTAAAAATTTTTCTTGTTTGGATCCGTACGAGCATCATCCCAAGTTCTGTTGTAGTTGGTGCTTTATATACATTATTATAGGGTTCTGAAGTGGAGAGAAAGTCCTCATTTGAGGTTTTTACTGTTTGTATCTATTTTCCATGCAATTTGGGAAATGATGTTTTTATGTGATAGATTATAGACATCTCATCCTGTTGTATGGATATTGGCAGATATCTTGGCGTTCCTCCAACAAGTTGAAAATTGCTTCCGTTTGGCAGTTTAGGCTGTGTTGCAAGTTATTCATTGTACTTATGCTTGTACATTCCTCATACCTGAAAGTTTTGCTTCCTGCTTCCCCTCTCAGAGGATTTGGTCAACGAATGTATATAAATATGTTTATAGACCATACAAGTGGTGAATTATATAGTTAAGTTTTTAATACAATAATGTGGTTTTTTTTTTAATGATTCATTTACATGACTCCCTTTTGTTTGGGTATTCCAACAATTTTTTTTTTTTTTGTTTTAGGGGGGGGGGGGGGGGGGAATTAATTTTGGGCCCCTTTTCCGAATCATACGAATTGTTCTTTAGCATGCTTTTTTATACTGAATGCTTTTCTTTTTCTTTTTCTTTTTAGGACACTGAAGTGCTCGCTAAGATAACTAAATTGATTTTTATAAATAAATAAAAAATTAAAAAAAAAGAGAGATCTCTGGATAGCAATTGTTCCATAAAAGTGTTTCTTAGATCATCTTCAATGTGAATTCTAATGTTATATTGATGCCATCACAAATTGTTAGAACTTGTGAAAGTAAACTTTTCAAGTTTAGAATTTGTCAAAGTAAACTTTAAAATTGTAAAATTGTAAAATTTTTTAATATAAAATAATTTGGAAAGGACACTGATTAAAAGAAAAACTAAAGATGTTACCCAATATCAATTAAATATCAAAATGTGCAATACGTGGTGCCACCAAGTAAATGAAAAACTAAAGATGTTACCCAATAACAATTAAATATCAAAATGTACAATACGTGGTGCCACCAAGTAAATTATGTATCAAATTCAGCATTAAAAATAATACTACATTAGAGATGCTCTTATAGAGCTATATTTATAACTCATCCCATATGCCAAAATATCATATTCCAACTCGTCCATTCCATTATCTATGACTCAAGTAATTGCGTTTTGCTTTAAGTTCCTTTTATCCCTTGTTGCAATGTTGAAGCTTGCTAAAAGCAAATGGACTATTTCGACTAGACGATCTCCAAATCTCCACCTCAACGACCTTGACAATTTTTTCCCTTTAATATAAGACTTTTGAACTTGCAACAGTTTATAAGAAAAATGTTAGCGTCACAAACAATGAATGCAGAAGATAGTGACAAAAAGAGCAACATTGGTATTTTTTTCAATTTATAATGGTCTAGGATCATGGTTACTTTATGTTCTTGTTTTTTGTACAAAAAGTTGAAGACTAAGATTTTTTTAGTTTTTATTTTTATTTTTTTTTTGGGGGGGGGGGAAAACTAGTATTTAATATCATGAACATTGAACACATTGGTGACTGTCTTCTTTCTCCATTATGCCACAATTTCATAATTCATAACTATACGAATTATGATTTTAGTGTAACATAACATATCAATATAGGGAAAATAAATTGATTAAAACAATCTCCCAAGTAGAGTAGTCTCAAGGTAACAACATATATTACAAATCTTGAATGATAACTAATATTTTAGCTGTTCAATTGGCCTTCAAAGACTCTGTACAACTGGAAGTTGTATTATCAAAGACCCCTGTTGCTGCTTGCCTAAACAAATTGTGTATCTGTAAGAAAGAGATACAATTATTAGCTCCTCATTCTTCGTGAAATAATAATAATAAAGAAGCAGTTTTATTTGGCACAAGAAAGTTTTTTTAATGTTTCTAAGCGTTACCTGTTTTAATGAGAGGCCGATCTTCTCCAAATCGCTCAGCTGAAACATGCCAAATTGTATACAACAACTTCAGCACTATTCATTTTGTAAGCAAAAAAATCAAAGACCAAAAAAAAAAAGAAAAAAAAAACCTTACCGATTTTAGTGGGCTTGTTTCTCTCAGCTCCATTATGTATTCTGCAATTTTTACCCCAATCCCCTAAAAAAGTTCAAAAAACATTTTTCAAGTAAGGAAACATATTAGTTTTTAAGGAAATCCAAAAAAAAAAAAAAAGAAAAAAAAAGTAAAAAACTCAATTACAAAATAAGTTATTGTGATCTTCTTGTCGATAATCACTAGGCAGCTTATCTATATACCTTTAACTCCAAGAGTTCCTCCCTGCAAAAATTGTGAAAAACAATTATCAAAATAACTTCTACCCATTGTGAAAGAACTCCGGAAAACACCTACATACACACACACACACACACACACATATGTAATTCAAGAAAAAAAAAAAAACTATACAAGAACTCAGAGAAGCTTTGCAAACGGAGATAACGCATTAACTAATTATATACCTGCTGGCTGCATTTAAGAAATCAATATATTCTTGAACAAGGTAGTTCTGCAAAGCAAAATTTACAGATTAGAATCATGATTTGAATATATTTGAAGGCAAGTTTACATATTTTCAAAACCAACCTTCAAGTTGGAGCTTTGAGCATTAAATTTATCAAGCGGGGTTCCCATTTTTTGAGATCTGTTATTTGCGCAGGTGAGAATAGAAGGCGTTTTCGGAGTCTTTGGCTCAAGAAGGAAAGGATATGGTTGATTTGTGAAGGAGAATTCCTCTGAAGGATATGGTTGATTAATGTTGGTGTTGATGGGGGAAAGAACTTTTCTTAAAGGACTCCTCAATGTGCTTTTCTTCTCACTAATAGGCGATGATCTAACGACATTTGCGGAGCTGTCATCCTGGTTTGATTCCTCACCTGCACAATTTAAATAAAAAAAGTGTCAAATCAGTTTGATCAAATTTCCAAGCAAATATATGTAGTCAAAACTTATGACACATTACAATATGTACTTGATTCCATCACAACAATCTCATCAACCCTTTTGCTCTCCTCTTTGTTATCACAACAATATGTAATTGATTCCTGCAAAAGGAATTCAATAAGTCGAAGTTTTCTTTTCATAAGTTGCATATTCTATGTAGTGGGAAAGTAGCATTAGACAGACTTACTTTAGTTTCATCACTTGATGACACCATTAGATTGTCTCTCACACTTTCTTCTTTCAAAGTTTTTGACCAATAATCCTTCAAAAGTCCAAAAAAAATATATTCAGAAAATTTAGCCTCTTTACATTCATGGAAATGTACTTGATGAAGAGAAGATCTTGAAGGTCAGTAAATCTGCTGAGAAAGCATAGTAAGAATAAACATTCTTAGGAAAGTGATGTACTTACCTGTAGATCTTCGTAATCAAACAGATTTCTAAAAGGTATGGCGACATTCCTGCATACCACAGTAGAGAATTTAGCAAAGTAGGGAGATTGAAAGTTCAACTCATGCAATGGAAAGATGAATTAGTTTTGTGTATACCCGTCTTTCCCGTCTTTCGCATTATAAGCAATGCGATTGGCGGAAACTTTGGCTTTCACTGAACTATTATTGAAATTGGGTTTCATAATAGAGCTATAAGTAGTTGAGCTTTTCCCCACAAAAGAAGAGTTAAGAGCTCCAATCCTCTGGGCACTCTTTGTCTTCCCTTTCGATTCCAACCAAGCTCGCAGTTTTGCTTCCATGTCAACCTTAACCTTTGGGGTCTCTTGCTTATGAGCAGAAGAAATGAAATTTGAAATGTTTCGCGAGCGAGCAGCCAAGCTGACTGTATGAACAGACTGCTGGTATTCTCCTGGATTCTGTCCTCAAAAGAAAATAGATGATATAACAACACATATTTAAAAGTCTGACAAATAGATAGTTCTAAACGTGATCTAGAGAAGAACTTTTTCCTCAGTTCCTTACCAAGCAAGCAACCATCAAAGCGCAGCTCTTTCCTCCAAGAGAATCCTGCAATATACGGGTCAGTTTGCTGTCTCGGTAAGGCACATGACTCTTGTGGTTGTTCAGTGCAAAAATCACATTGGACAATGCAAACAAGGACTGGTTGATCTTGGCACTCTCTTGGAGGCGGATTCCTTCATTGCAGGTTCTCCTATTATCTTCATTGCCTGCTTTCCAAAGAAAAGTAGAATGAAATTACAACTAACAACCAGAAACAAAAAGATTGATATTTTGAAGGACATCATACTACTATAGGGATTTAAAATATGGGGTCTAGAATTTGTTTATTTCTTGTTTACTTTTATTATTTCATAAATAATTACCTGCTAAATCTATGAGGTTCAACTTTCCAAGAAGACCATCCCCAAAATCATCACCACAAGGCGTAGAAACGGAGATCACAAGCACGCCGTGGCTCCTACTGGACACGTCATTGAGGCCCGTGTGTGCGACTTTCCGCCGCTGAACACAACGGGAAAAGACATCGTGAAATTCGGGCATGGAACTTATGGGGACCCGGGACAGTCCACCTAGATGGATCTGCCCATCTTTGTCATCCCACACAGAAATTTCCTTGGCTTTGACTTCTAAAAGGTCATAACATCTCTCCAAATACACTTCGTAGTATGAAATCTCAGCTCTGCTTCCCGTTCTCTCGCACATTGACAAGATTGTGGACATGGCCAGTGGCATTATACCTGGCTGATCATTGGTGCCCTATAACATGAACCATAAGCTGATTTGATTAGTTTCACTAAGAAAAGTCATTATAAAAACTATGAAAAGATAAGGTTACAAGAAAATAATGCAAAAATTTTACAACAACACCAAATCTCACTTTCAACAAACATCTGTTAGGAACCTAATATTTAGAAAATTTTTTAATAGTCTTAATAGTAGTTAGGGAGAGAGAGGAGGAGATTTGTAGAGAGTGTCTAGTGCTGTGCACTATCTTGGAGATCGGGAGTACTCGAAACCGCTTATCTATCTTGTAATTTTCCATTTTTAGTGTTGTTAATGAAGCTCATTTTCGGGTTCCTAACAATGGTATCAGAGCACTGATCCATGGCGCCTAAATCGGCAGATTCGGAGAGGGTGACCAGGAGGCAATCCAAGAGGTGGTGGCGGAGAGCCTGCCACAAATTCGGGGGGAGATGGTTGGGTTGAGAGCAAGTATGGAGGGACTTCACGAACAGATGGGGAAAGTTCAGACGCATATGGTGATTTGCAGGCGGCCCTCCAGCGAATGGAGGCGCTGTTGGTGGCGCAGCCGGTATCGGAAAGGGCCGACGGAGTTCGCGACGGCGAGCGGCAGAATGGAGAACAGCAGCACCGTGAATTTCCGGGCGAAGAGATCGCGGATCGCGACGACCCACGCGGAGTGGAGGAAGATTTCCGGCACGATCGTCGTCGGGGGGCGCCGATTCGCGAAGGCCGAGGTCGCAAGAGGGAGATCGCCGGAGAGACATTGGTCTCATGGAGGAGCGCAAGTTCCATCACGATCTGGGGCTGGGTGGTTTGGATCTGCAGTGCAAAAGCTTGTTCGACGGAGGGAAGAGAGCGGAAGGCAGTCGTGACCATCAGGAGAGGGCGGCAGAGCTTGGTCGGCGACAGGAATAGGAGTGGGAGCCGGAGTTAGAGGAGGAAAGGCTTGCTCTGGGGCTGGGACGACATGGGTACCCTCAGAACAGGGAACCCAGTCCTGATTCAGTTGCGGTTGGGGCTGATTCCGGCCCGGTTTGGACCGGGCCTCGCGATTCCAGTTCGTCTGAGGCTAATTCCAGCAGAATTCGGACTGGGTCACGCGAGTTCAGCCCAATTTGGGAGGATTCCGGCGAAATTAGGGATGAGTCCCAAAATTCCGGCGAAATTAGGGATGGGTCCCGAAATTCCGGCAACCTTAGGTCTGGGTTTTGCGATTCTTATGTGATGGAGATTCCGATGATGTTAGGGTTGGGCCTCAAACTTACAGCAAGATTAGAGCCAATTACAATCAAATATGGATTGGATCTTCAAGTTTTGGCATGACTGGGTTAGGTCTGGACAATCTGAGTTGGATGAGGGAGATTGGGTTTTGCAATCTGATTTGAGAGAGCGAGTTGGGTCTTCTTGATTTGGAGTCAGAACCAATCCAAGGGTTTCGAGTAGGGAGAGGGGAAGGTGGCACGGCACCTGATGGGTGGGTATTTAGAGCTGAACGATACTTTTTGTTTTATAGAATGACGAACAATGAGAAAATCCAAGCTCCTGAAATGGCTATGAAGGGTGATGCTTTGACTTGGTATCAATGGGAGGATGCTCATTGCCCATTCTACAATTGGAATAAATCTCAAAGACTCATCTGCTTAAGCATTCAGACTGTCATCTGATGAGGCCTTACATGAGAGTTTCTTGGTGAAACGTCAAGAGGATACGATGGCTGACTATAGACGACAATTCAAGTTACTTGTCAAACCTGGGAAAGAGATTTCAAATTCGATTTTAGAAAGAGTTCTCATTACAAAATTGAAAGTCGATAAAGAGCAAGTGGTAGGTAGTTCAAGTAAGTTGCTTCCAGCTCAAACAACCGATGTTTCAGATCAATTGGATGTTCAAAGAGTCTTGACTAGGAAGAATTTTGATGGCAAGGCATTGAAAATGAAGTTGGTTTTCAATCTGATGCTAGTAATGAAGGGCTTCAAGATATGGGAAATAAGATGTCAATGACATCAAAATTTTTCAAGGATGTTACTTTAGAACTGGAGTTTGCTGTACCAGTGAAAGAAGTCCATTCTTGTATTATAAAAGATGAATTTGATTCTGTTTGCAGCAATTATAGGGCTGTTGACAAAAGAATGGAGAGTGTACACTTGCAGTTGCCTCCATTGTTGATGTTCTGACAAACAACAAGACAGCTTTCTCTAGCGAGGTGGAATATGCACTGCAGCAAGATAACGCTTGTGGGAGGAAGGTTTTTGTTATAAATGAATTGTTTGAGCTGACCAACAAGGTCTTCCATTGCGACAAGGATGATTTTGAGGCTGAGCTTCATGGTTTCGCTGCCCTTAAAGTGGTTCTCAATTTTAGCTCCAAACAAAAGTGTGAAGTTGAAAAGATAAAATTAACAAGAACATTTGAAGCAAGTTCTATACGAATCATTCCGGTCGATGTTCTAAGATCCAACCTCATCAAGATTGGAAGGAAGTGGAGTCACACGGTTATGATTACTTAACACCTTGAGGACAAGGTGTTTCTTTAGGGCGGGGTAATGTTAGGAACCTAATATTTAAAAGTCTTTTTTAATAGTCTTAATAGTAGTATAAATAGGAGGTTTAGTTGTTAAGGAGAGGGATGAGGAGATTTGTAGATAGTGTCTAATGCTGTGCACTATCTTGGAGATTTGAGGTCTTCGAAACCGCTTATCTATCCTGTAATTTTCTACTTTTAGTGCTGTTAATGAAACTCAGATTTTCAGGTTCCTAATAACATCACACAAATGGGTTCTTCTAGATTTTTTTAGTTGTCTAAGAAAAGGATTCTTAAATTGTACAATACATTCTTGCTAGTAACTATTTATGAGAAAATTTGACTTTTCGAAGAAAAGACATCAAACAAACCTCAAAATCTTTTATGCTACAAGAAAACAATGTGAAAATTTAGCTAAGAACTCAAAATTTTCACTACGCGGCATCACTCGAGGCTTTCAAATTTTTTGGTCTGCTGAAAAAAAGAAAAAAAAAAGAATCTCTTGGATAAAGTAAGCACGCTAAGAGAGGTTTTTCAGCAAGTTCTAGTGTAACAGACACACACACACACACACAAATGGTTCTATATTTTGTTCATATGGTAATTGTAACTTCAGTCTTGCCCATTGCTAGAATTTCCACTAAATTGAGGTTTTTTTTCCCTCTAAAATTGGAAAATAATTATAATCTTGGGTTTCTGTTTTGATTCTCTAATACATCATACATCTTATGAGAAAAACACACAATTTTCAGCTTTTTTCCACTTTCATTCTAAGGATACAACTTATTAGGCCCAAAAATTCAACAGAATTTTTTTTTTTTTTTTAAAAAGTATAATTATAAACCTGCATGGTGTAAGTCTTTCCGCTACCAGTAGCCCCATAAGCGAAAACAGTCCCATTACAGCCATGAAATATCCCAGGAATCAAAGGCCTCACTTCTCTCTCAAAGATCTTGTTAATATTCTTGTCTTCTTGCCCGAAAAACGAGTCCAATTGGTAACACTCATTTCGGCTACACCCACAAAAGAATTGTTATTCAGAAAATTTAAGACCAACAAAAAAAATGATCACAAATGAAAGACCAACCTTGTTTCTTTATCTTTGAGATAAACCGCGACTTCCTCTTCTTCTTCTTGGTCGAGAACGGAAACGCATGGCATCTGTTCTCCGCTGGTGGCCTCGTGCGGAAGAAAGGGCCGGACTCTCACTATGACTCTGACTTTGGATTTTGCAAATGAAGAAGAAGAAGGCTTTTTTTCCATCTGGGGTGTGGTTGGAATGTCCATGAACGCCATTGATTGAGATCCAATGAAACGACGAGAGAGAGAGAGAGAGAGGAGAGAGAAAGGGGAGTTATTGGATGATTGATTGAAAGAGAAGGATTTGGGAAATGGGATTTTGGTGAGAGAGCCAGAATGTTTCTGTTTTTTCTTGGTTTTCTGGAAGAAAGAAAAAAAGTTTCGAACTTTAATTAAATTCGACCGTTGGACGATCACCAGGATGGCCAACTTTTTCTTTTTCTTTTTTTTTTTCTTTGAATCTTCTGAATTAGGCCTTTTAAGTTTGAAATCCAGCCTCGCCCGACCGTTGAGCACTTTGGACTTATGGGCCCAACAAACGACGTAAAAAAAAAGAGAAATAGTAAAAAATAGGTCAATATAAAAAGTTTAAGAAAGTATATAGGTCAATTTTTAGTTATAAAAATTAATAGGTCATAACTTGTCAAGTTATGGTTCATAGCCAGACAAGTTATTGATAATTATGGACAATAACTTGTCAAGTTATGATTCATAACCAGACAAGTTATGGACGAAAGCAGTAATTTAGCCTATTTATTAACTTATGTAAACTATCGGCCTATTAATTTTAATTCATCTCAAGTCTTGGCCTATTTTCCTCTTTCTCCCTAAAAAAAACACGAAAAAATAAAGAAATTATCTAGGGAAAAAGAGGGAAATAAGTCAAGATTTGAGATGAATTAAAATTAATAGGCCGATAGTTTACATAAGTTAATAAATAGGCCAAATTATTATTTTCGTCTATAACTTGTCTGGTTATGAACCATAACTTAACAAGTTATTGTCCATAATTGTCTATAACTTGTCTGGTTATGAACCATAGCTTGACAAGTTTGTCCATAACTTATCTGGTTATGAACCATAACTTGACAAGTTATGACCTATTAATTTTTATAACTAAAAATTGACCTATATACTTTCTTAAACTTTTCATATTGGCATATTTTCTACTATTTCCCAATTATCTATAAGTTTGGACCTTTAATCTTACTCTAAATAAATATTTTTTTATTAGTGTAATTATTTAATTAAAAAAGTTATAAATTAAAAGTAAAAAATAAAATTTAGATTCATACATTTTTAAGAAGTATTTATCAAAATTACTTAAAAAACATGTATGTTTATCAGGATATTTATAATTTATTTATTTATTTTCTAGTGTAGTTTTTTTTTAAAAAAAACCTTTTTACGAGCTCTTTATATTTCTCTATTGCGATTTAAATGTTTTAGGTTTTTTTTAGCTCTGAATATTTTTCTAATTGCGATTTTGGAAAGGTTTTAGTTAGGTTTTGGTGGCGAGAGAATATTTTTTGAAAACTCAATACTAGCATAAATTATTTCGGTTAAAGGGTATCTTTACAATTTAGATAAAATACAAAGAGTCTTAATGTAAAAAGTTAATTATTTATTAAGCATTTTTTACCGTAAGGCCAAAGAAACCCACTGGTGGAGCACTGTCTTTTTTACTGTTAGATTAATTTTTTAACTGTCAGATCTGTAGTAGGAGCAATTATGTGTAACACGCTGTAAATTTTAATACGAACTTGCACAAATCTAATCATCCAATGGTTAAAAAAATACAAATTCCATCCGTGGTTTTTGTTTTTTAGGTTTGATGCGCCGATTTATTATACCAATTAAGTTCGAATCTAAGGGTGCGTTTGGTATATGGATCCAGAATCATGATTCTGGATCCTAGTTCAGAATCAGTATTTGTTTACAGTGATTATGAATCATGATTTATAATTAATGTTTGGTTTGGATGATTCTGAATCATGATTTAGAATCTGATGTGATGTTTTAAACTAGCTCAAATCATGAGTCTAACCCTTAATTCTGAATCATGGTTTCAGAATCATGATTTGAAGCTAAAATCATGAATTATAGTTATGATTCTAAAATCATAATTAGTATCACTCTGATTTAAATTCTCGTACCAAACGAACCCTAAGAAGCCCCACTTCTTCCTTCCTTGCGTTGTTGTTTTTGGTCCAAATAAAAAAATAAATAAATCAATAGTCGTGAAAAAGGTGCAAACTGTTGAAGCTAAGAAGATGATGAGAAGCCCGATCAAAGACTTCGACTCTCATCCTGAAGAAGACAAGCGTGAGATAATCAGGTACTTTATACGTAATATATATATACATATGTATGTATATAAACGTATATATATATATATATAATATTGATTTGGACTTAATTATGTTGCTAAAATTGTTTTTGTCAAAAGGGTATGGCCAATTTTGTTGTTTCTTTGGCTTAGCCGAGAAATCTTGATGCAATTTCGTTACTTGCACTGAAGCCGGTGAATATGAATCATTCATAAATGTAGTGCTTAGGATTTAGTTATGTTATTCTTTCAATTGTATTTGTGCAAAGGGATATTGCCCAAAAAAAGTTTCGGTAATATCCTAAAGGTGTGTTTGGTTACAGTGGGAGAATAGTAATGTGAATGGGAATAAAATAAAAAAGAAAGTTGATTCATTTATTTAGTTATAATTTTAAAAATTCTCTGAAATAAAACATAAATATTTTCATGTTAACAAACTTACCCTTATGCTATATATAACACTAATATTTTATCTATCAATATAATATATAAAATGTAATATAATATAATAAAAGTATTATTATTATAATATATTATATAATTATGATATATAATATAGCAATATTATTAAAATTGTTAATATAATTATAGTATTATAATATATAAAATGTAATATAATATAATAAAAGTATTATTATTATAATATATTATATAATTATGATATATAATATAGCAATATTATTAAAATTGTTAATATAATTATAGTATTATAATATATAAAATGTAATATAATATAATAAAAGTATTATTATTATAATATATTATATAATTATGATATATAATATAGCAATATTATTAAAATTGTTAATATAATTATAGTATTATAATATATAAAATGTAATATAATATAATAAAAGTATTATTATTATAATATATTATATAATTATGATATATAATATAGCAATATTATTAAAATTGTTAATATAATTATAGTATTATAATATATAAAATGTAATATAATATAATAAAAGTATTATTATTATAATATATTATATAATAATAATTATATTATATTATATTATAAGATATAACTACTATATAATATATTTTAATTATATTATAATATTGAAGGGTAATTATGGAAAAAAAATAAAAAATAAAAGAACTTAGAATGGTCATTCCTCACATATGAGGAAGGAATAATGATTCACCCAAAATGGGTGAATGACCATTTCTTTTGAATGATCATTCCTTTCTTATAAATCCAACCAAACATCAAATTAGAATTTCATTCCATTCTATTTCATTTCTTTCCATCCAACCAAACACACCATAAGTTTGGACATATACCCATTTTCAAAAAGTTGCAATATTAATAGAGAATTTTTGTTTAAAAAAAATCAGTTTTACCCCAAGTTTTGATTTTTTTTTTTAATATGACATTTGTTTCATAGTTAGAATCACAATTAAAACCTTTTTACTCAAAAAATGCATAAGTACGCTCATCTTTCCTAACAAAACGAAAAAAAGTATACTTCAATTTTAAAACCTCAAAGAAACTAAAAATCAAGTATACTAATATGTAAACTTATAATGTTGGCAACTGTAATTAAATTTTTTACAGTGGTAGTTCATTAGAAAGAAAAATAAAATAGATAAAAGGGAGGTATATATATAGAGAGAGAGTAAAATTACATTATAGTTTTAAATTAAATTTTTAATTTCATAATACTTAAAAAATAAAAAAGTATTAATTAAGAATAAGAAATAAAAATTTAGACTCTATGGGTGCATTTAGAACTCGTTCCAAAATGATTTTATTTTTTATATGAAAATGGAAATGAAAATGTTTTCAATCTCAGACAAAAATTATTTTTAAAAATGCATTTGGTAGTTTTATCAAGAAATTATTTTCAGTATAAAAAAATCTATTAATATCTCTCTCTGTGCTCGAGAGAGGAGAAAACGGAAACAAAAATGAAAAACGACTAAAATTTATTTTTTATTTCTCTCATCTTTTATACTAAACTAAAAAATTATTTTCATTTTAATTTTTTATCTTTAATTGTGTCAAATACTATTTCTCTCTGATTTTTATTTTTTCTTTCACAAAAAAACGTGAAAAATAAAAACAAAACAACTCCAGACACCATCTATGGTAAGTTCTCCTAAGCAAATGCTCTTGTAGACTTGTATAGAGTTCTTGCAGCTAGGAAATCCGGCCCCAACGGTTGGTCAATTTGGGCTTATTGGCCCAACAAACAAACAAATAAAAACGTGTGTAAAAGAGAGGCGCGTGTGTGTTTATCAGGATTTTTTTTTATTTTCTTTGGGTCTTTAGTTAGGGTTTAAGGAGCTCGTCTCTTTCCTTGCTTGGGTTGTTGTTTGCGTCCTGGTCAAAAATAAACAAAAGTTGTGATAATTGTTGACGCGAAGAAGATGGACAAGAGCATGCTAGCAGACTTGGACTCTCTTCCTGAAGAAGACAAGCTTCGAATGTCCACAATGATTGATCAGCTTCAGATTCGCGACAGGTACTTTATATATATTATTATGTGTATAAGTATATATATACATATGTAATATGTATTGGTTAGGACTTAATTATGCAATTCAAATTGTTTTTGTCAAAAGGGTATGTCCATTTTCTTGTTTCTTTGACTTAACTGAGAAATTCTTATGCAATTTCGTTACTTGCAGTGGAGCCTGTAAATATGTTATTTCAATTTTGTTTGAGCAAAAGGGTATGCCCAATTTTGCTGTTACATATTGGATTGATAATTTCCGACTGACAACTTTTACATGAGGAAAGACCTGTCAAAATTGAAGGGCATAATTGGAATAATCAGATGGTTAACTTGTTGTGTCCATAAGGAATATTGGAGGATTGAATATGAATCAAGCAGTTTAAATCTAATAAATTAGTTTATTATTAAAAAAAAATGAAGAAGTGATTTCACAACATGGTATAGTAGCTGTAGCCATTTTCTTATTTTCACTTCAATTCTGAACTTTGCTGCTGATTTTCGACTAAGTATTTATTTGTTGCGGGTGATTAGTGATTAAAAAGAGTCGGAGTTGTTGTTCTAAACTTCTATGCTCTGCTTATCCATTAAAAACCAAATTGTTTGCAGCTTGAGGATGTATAATCCTTAGTGTTCTTTTGGTTCACGCGTTCAAATCAATGATTCTGATTCATTGGTGGGGATTTTGTGAGAAAACCATTGGTGGGAAATTTTTGAATTTAAATTCCTTATAAGAGGAAAACACTGTAGCAGAATTAGAATCACGAGTTTAAATACGTTTGTCAAACGGGCCCTTAACGGTTTTTTTTTTTTTTTTTTCCTTTGCAGCTTGAGGATGTACAATTCCTTAGTTGAGAGGTGTTTTACAGACTGCGTAGACACCTATCAACGAAAATCGCTGACCAAGCAAGAGGAGACTTGCGTGCACCGGTGCGCCGAGAAGTTCCTCAAGCACTCCATGCATGTCGGCATGAGATTCGCTGAGCTCAACCAAGGAGCAGCTACATCAGATTAAGATATTGCTACATAATTTTTTTGGTAGTGAAGATATGAACATTATGTTCATCTTAATTTTAAGGCCCTTTATTTTAAGGGATAGTTTGTGACTTTCTTTTTCCTTGTACTTTCATGAAATTTTTGCAATTATGTGAACATCAATATTCATTGAGTTTGAACATTTTGATATTTGTTTCTAGTTTCCTTAGTTGAAAAGAAGCAATAAGGTCATCCCAGAATCTTGCTCATTGAAGAACTAGTTGATAGTTACTATAGTTTTTTGATCTGTGAATTACAAATATTTGTGCTTCTAATGTCTAGATTATTTGTCCCCTTGATGATGCTGACTTCTCTTCTTCTTGACATCTGGACTTAAATGGCATGTTTCTTGGGCTTTAATTGGAAAGCGATGAAAAATGAGAGCATGGATATAGGACTTTTCTCTTTCTGTGTTTGGTACGGATTTCTGGCTTCAAACTTCTCAAGGAATATGGAGGATTTTGGGATCTCTCAATCTATCCATTTCCTTCCCTAATTTCTCGTACCAGACAAGAGGCACTATATGGTAAGAGGGAAAGAAAATTGGAAGGAAGGATATATATATATATATATAACTAACTTAGGTTGAGTAAATGTAGAGGAATAGAAAGATCTTTGGAGTAGAAGCCAATTAGTAACCAATTTTCCGACTGAAACGGACGGAGAAAGGACGGGAGTCCGAATTCCCCTGGGTTGGGTCAGCAAGGGAAAAACCACGAAGCTGAGGAAACTCTCAGAGCAAATTCTTGATAATCAAATACTGGATAGTAAATGGTCCTCATCTGAATGACAAAACCAGCCTTATAAGGCCACAAAGTAAACGACAAAACCGATAGCAAATAGCAAGGCCAAACGACAGCTAGTGTTGTCAATCCGAGTAATAACACGATGATACGACTTGAAATCCACACGAAGTTAGTGGGTTTAGGTTTACTATAAATTGGTTTAGATAATAATCGGGTTGACACGATTAATAAATGGGTTGGGTTAGAGTTGACCTCCTAACACAAAATGACACGATTAATTATATGTCATTTGCAATATAATAATATGTGATGTAACATAAAAGTTTATATGACTTATTAAATATAAATAATGTGAATTTTAATATTTATAGGTAAAATTCATTTATTTTTCTTAAAAAAATGATAAATTGACTAATAAATATGTTAAATTTATCTTGACCGTGTTAAATAAGTCATTATTATATTAGTTATTTATTTAATATATTAATTTAAACAGGTTATACAGATTGACACGATTAATACGATTAATAAATGGATCATGTTTGGATTGACATTTTTGACACGTTTAATAAACATGTCATATTTGAATACGATAAATAAATGGGTTGACACAAACACGACCCATTAACACAAATTGTCACCCTTAACTACAGCTAACATAAGCCAGTAAAAGATAGAATAAACGACAAGTAACGTAAGTAAATATAATGGGAGGAAACGATGATGAGCTGCTACATCAATCTTTCTCATATTGTGTTTGGTATAGTTTCAATTCGTCAATTTTGAGGTTTCGTTTATTTCATCGATTTGAGTTTAGAATTCGAGTTTTGCTACAGTAAATAGCTCTCAAAAACAGTCACATCTAACTTTTTTGGTACATAAAAAACTCACATAAAATCACATATCAACTTAAATTAAAAACTCGAATCAACAAACTAAACATACCCTAAAATAATCAAAATTAGCATCTCCGAAAGATTTTGTATCTATGATACTCATCCATTTCATTCCCTTCTCTAATCCCTCATATCAAACAACAACAACTTAAAATCTATTCACCAATTTTCTATTTTGGATACCGCTCGCACTTTTCTTTTCTGCAAACAAGGCCTTAGAATGGCAATGACCATTGACCACTATGAAGTATGAAGCCAACCCACTTGCTGTGGAGATGTGGTCCAGAGTTAAAAGTAGTTGAGAAGATGGTTGAAAGAGAATAATTTTGAATACTATTTGTGATGAAGACGTCATTCTTAAAAGAGACCTTTTTAAGAAAATGGGACCAGTCTAGTTATAGGACTTAATTCGTGATTCTAATTTTATTCTCTCACGAAAATGAATAAAAAAGTTTTCGTCAATAAAGTTCTCTCACAAATTTAAATTTATAATTAAAATTATTGACTTAAATGCGTAAATTAAACAAGTTCTAAAGGCTTATATTTTGAGTACTTGAGTTAAAAAATACATTTATACAAGAAAATATTATAATAAAAAGATTGAATTTGAATTTTTGTGAGAAAAAAACACCTTAGCAAAAGTTTGAAATATGATTAGAATTGTGAAAAGAACATGCCCTAATAGCATCTCTAATGCAGTGCTATAATTAATGTGTCAATTACAAATTTTACATTTAAGTGCAAAAAGTATTCTCTAATACAATGCTATTTGTGCCAAATTTCTCCTATGTTATATTTTGTGGTAAATTTCTTACTAAGTATAGCATATAAAAAATTTAGCATTTAATTGCTATCAGTTAAAATGTTTACTTTTTCATGTAATTATTGCAACTTTTACATTTTCTAATTATTTTAAAAATAAAAGTTTAACTCTACAACTTTTATAGCTTAATGATTATGGAAAAAAAATAACTTTAAGACCATCTCTAATGTAAATGCTAATATCAATTGTATATTTAAGATAAAAAACTATGATATGGTATGTTATTTTCATTTTTACTCTAATGAATAATGCTTTTTGAAATGGTAAATATACTTTTCATCAAAAACTATTAATTACATGAAAAAAGTAAACATTTCAACCAATAGTAATCAAATGTCAAATTTTTCATATACTATACTTAATGGAAAATTTGCCACAACATATAGCATTGCATTAGAGAGTGTTTTTTACACTCAAATGTTAAATTTACAATTAATACACTAATTATAACATTACATTAGAAATGCTCTAACATTTCAAATAGTATTATGCATTACAATAAAAATGAAAAATAACCTACTATATTATATTTTTTTAATGTTAAATATACAAATAACATTAACATTTGTATAAGTGCAAGTATATGTGAGCTGAGACCTGTTTCTATAGAAGAAGCTGCTAATTTTGTTTCTATAGAAGAAGCTGCTAATTGTTGGCCCAAGCGCTTACACCTCGTGAAGATACTTCTCAAGTAGTCATCTTTTTCCAACATGATTGAACTTGGTGACCTCATTAAATTTACTTTCCATCAAAGAAAAAGGAGAAGTAAAGAGTGATTCTCTTTCTGATTTATAATATATTTACTTATAAAATTAATAATAAAGATTTAGTATACCTAATACAATATCAGGAATGAGGAAAGAGAATATCAATCCTCACACCCCTTTAGTGTTATTCATTGTCAAAGAAAGTGAATTTTGAATTTACTTATCTATCATTAATAAATTACTGTACATTTAATGATTATTTAATTATATAAAAGAACATTTTAGTAATTATATTCATAACATTACTATTCTTAATTTTAATAAACATAAAAAAGAGAATATAATTATTTTTCATTATACCATCTAATAGTCAAGTAAATACATAAAAGAGAATGAATGATCATTAATCCTATTACTTTACTTTTTTTTTCTAATCTCATTATATTTTTTCATCATATTCTTTTACGGTTTGATAAACGCGTAGTTAGTTGATAAAAATTTTCTTTTCTAATCTTCATTGCCAATATTCTAAGAAAGAAAAAAAGTAAATGCTCTTGTATTTCCAATAATACACAGTTGACCTTTGTTTTCACCTAAGGTTAGCAGTCAGATTTTGTATCTTTATTCTTTATATATATAAAAGAAGGATTTTCTAGTTTTTCACGATTAATATTTTTACTGAAATAATAATGATTCAACTCAGTTAACTCAATGTCAATTACCATAACAGTATAACAATTAATTTAGGTTGTTTGATTAATACAAAGACATAAACATTAATACCACAGAAATTATGCAACTATGACACGGAAATGAAAACATTGGTCTATTTGCTTTATGCTCCATGTGATTTTGTGAAAATAAAAAGGAAAAAGTTGTTCTTTTGCAACAAAACTCAGAATAAGTTTGAACTCGAGTTATAACTTTATTCAAGTTTATGTTCTTTTATAAAATTTGAGTTTTAATTCGAGTTTTAATTCGATTTTGGACTCGAGTTTGGGGCTAAACTCGAGTTCAAGTTTTCCCTTTAACTCGAACTCAAGTTAATGAACAGTATTTTTTTTATTATTAAAAATGCCATAATTTTTTCATTTTAATTCTAATTGAGATGATTTTTTTTCTGTGCATTCACAACGAAAAGACGAATAAAACTCCATCCATATACCCTATTAAAATTTTTCATTACCATTGAGTTTTTATTAAAATACTATTTAAATATAAATTTAAGTTTTGACTCACCCAAACACAAACTCAAAAAGATTATCAATTCAAATTATAACTTAAATGTGCACATCCAAACACAAACTCAAGTTACAACTTCAACTCAAATTATAACTCAAACTCAACTCAAGATCATCACTCAAGTCACCCTAACTCAAAAATACAAAAGAACAACCCCAATTTGTAACTCGAGAACCGTTAACACAGGCATATGAACGTTTAATTTGTTATGTAACATTATTAATAATCACATTGAGATTACAATAAAAATTATAACACATAACATGAGAATGAAAACCGTCATGTTAGCCGTGTTTGGAATTGATCTCATTTTTTTTACGTTTTTCGAGAAAGAAAAAATAAAAACGTTTCTAAAACAATGTTTGGCGCAATAAAGACAAAAAAGGAAATGAAAACGATTTTTTAGTTTAGTGTAAAATGAGAGAAAAATGAAAAATAACTTTTAGTCATTTTTCATTTTTTGTTTTCGTTTTCTCCTCTCTCGAGCATAGAGAGAGAAAGAGATACATAAATGATTTTTTTATATTAAAAATAATCTCTTAATAAAATAACACATTTTTAAAAATAATTTTTATCTAAAATTAAAAATATTTTTATTTTTATTTTCATATAAAAAATAAAATTATTTTAAAATAAGCTCTAAGCGCTTTGTTATTTTTACCACAATCTTTCTGCCCTAGTAAATGAGCCTTGCTAGTAAAACTTTTTTTTTTTTTTTTGTGTTCCAATCTAACGAACGGTAGAGATTAAATGCTAAAAAAAGACCAAGTTCAATCCGACCGTTGACCATCAATGATCTGACGTAACAGCCCACGTCAATTTCCCTAAACCGCCCTTCAATCAGTTGAGACGTAGCTTTCTCTCTCCACAACCCAAGCTCCGCTTAAACCTCGACTACCTCTTCCCAATCCAACGGTCTAGAAAAGCCCGCGAATCCTTTCCCGTATCCGATGGCCCCAAACCAGTTCGATATTTAACGCTGGTGGGCTTCACTCCTCAGGCCCCAAATAAGAGTGCCGTTTGAGGTTTCAAACTTTTGTCCTCTTGACTTTAACGGCACACGCGAAAACGTTAACGGCCGTTAACCCATAGGGTTTCTTTAAGTGTCGCAAAACCAGAATTCCATTCGGTAACGGTAAAAATTAACGGAGACGTCGGTGCTCAAAAATATATTCGTTATCTATAAAAATTGATTTTTTATTTGTTTCTTTCTTCTCTCTCTTTCTCTCTCCTCGTTTCAACGGGCGAGGATTTTTCGAAAAGAAACAGCTCTTCCTTCTTCTCCTTCATCTTCTTCTTCTTCAATGTCTTCTCAGAGATTTTTCGTGTTTAGGGCTTGAATTTTAGGGATGAGTTCCAGTTCGGTTCCCGCCAATTCGTCACCCGACGAGGTTTGTCGGTTTGTCTTTTACTTTCTGAAAGAAAGAAAGGAGAAAATTTTGAGAATTTTGATTGTTCGGAATCGGTTTAGTTTCTTCCGTGATTGTTTTCCTGGTTTTGGATCTCTTCAATTCCCTGAGTAGCTATGAATTATGTAGTTTCGATTGAGTTCTGGTGTGTTTCTCGATCATAACCCTATAATTCTAAGTTTCTTTGGTGCGATTTTTTGCTTGTTTTTGTCGATCTGATATCCGATTCTGAGATTTGGAATTTTTGGAGAAATTCCGGTTTCTTTTGGAAGGGGTCATGTTCTCTCTCTCTCTCTCTCTCTCTCTCTCTCTCTCTCTCTCTCTCTCTCTCTCCTTAATTATTATTATTAAATTTTTCTGGATTTTTTCAATTGTTTTTTTGCTGATTGGGATTTTGGGTTTTGGATTTGAGTGTAGAAGGAGGTGATGGGTGGGGTGAAATTAGAGGAGTGTTGTCTTGAGAACAAGCAATCGACGGCGGCATCGAGTTCCTCCGTATCTGAAGGCAGTGGCAGTGTTTTTCTCAAGTCCCCCGGAATATGTAGCCCAGCCTCAATGTCACCGACTCATCGGTACTATCAGTTAAAGTCCATTTTCTAATAAAATTCAGCTAGTTTTGTAACTGCTCTTTGCTTTGTAAATGCGGAATTTTTCATTCAATACAGATTATGCAGTGATTTTGGTTTTGGCATTCGATTTTATGTGAGCCCATATACTGTAAACTGATGAGATAGTTGAATTTTCAACTTGGAAAATCCTATCTCTGTATATAACATTATTATTCTGGTGGTGAGTTCAATTTATGTAATTGTAATTTGATTTTTCAGGAGGACGAGTGGCCCCATTAGGAGAGCGAAGGGTGGTTGGACTCCGCACGAGGTTAGTATTACTTTTTGTACTTTTTCTTCAGTCATATGAATTTGGTAGGATCACTTCCCTTATATATGCCTGTGTTTTAGCTGGCTCATTGAAAGACTAGGCTTATTGAAAGGAAAGTTCCATCCTTATAATTTCTTTTCCTTTTGGTATTCTTTCATACTTGGAAAAGTCACGGATAGAATGATTATGCAACATGCATTACATTAACCAGTATTTATTTTTTATGTTCCCTTCTACCCTGCCTATTTGCCAGTTGTTTTCTCTTATTCAGCAAACTCAATAGTATGACTTTTTAAATTAGTAATTTCTTTTGCAATTTGTCACAGGATGAAACATTAAGGAGCGCTGTTGCAGCTTATAAGGGGAAGAGTTGGAAAAAAATAGGTTTGCCTTTTCTCTTTAATTTCTAGCGTCCGCTGATATTCCATGGTCGTGTACTGGTGCTTTGGGCGATAATAAGTTTGTTAAGATAGTGAAAACGAAAACATTGAGGACTACTTAATTAAATGAGGTATATCAAATAAAAAAAAAAACACTAAAAATGATTGGGAACAGAACAATCTAACTTTGTGGAAACCGACTACTCTATCAAAGCTAAAACTTTAAAAGAAGCGCATCATTCATCACAAAAGGAGGAATTGGGAAGTTGTATACTTGTGTGTATCCAAACAATGTGCAGACACCTGAAGGATGATATTGTGAAAGTAGAGAGCTGTGGTGGGATTGTTAGTTTTTAATATAGGATTGAAAAGAAGAAAAATATGTATGCTGTTCTGTTAAATGACTCCATTGCCGTGATTTGTTGGATACCATATAGTTAACAAACAGCCTGAGATTTTGGCATGTAAAGATTTCGGTTTTCTTCAACTGCATTATTGTTCACGAAGAAACTGAAAATATTTATCATGCTCTAATAGATGCATAATCTTAGCTTTTTCTCACATTGTAGCATTTTTCTGACATGTCTATCACCTTGTTTTGTTGTAGTAATATTGTGCTTGCACTAAACTGATATTTGGATATTTTTTGCAGCCGAGTTTTTTCCTGATAGATCAGAAGTACAATGTCTACATAGATGGCAGAAAGTTCTTAATCCTGATCTTGTCAAGGGTCCTTGGACCCAAGAGGTTGCTACTCGGTGTCCTCCTTTTTGTGTTTTCTATCTATTCATGTAATTTTTTATGTGATTCAAGCATTTGAAGTTTGTGCTGTTTTTCTGATTATAGGAGGATGACAAAATCATTGAACTTGTATTAAAATATGGGGCAACAAAGTGGTCACTAATAGCTAAATCTCTGCCTGGTCGCATAGGGAAACAATGCCGAGAGAGGTAACCTTTGGAACTGTTTGGTTCCTTATAAGAAGCAAAGATTACTTAAAACTTTTTATCTCTTTGATTTCTTCATGAAGAGCACCCACCAACAACCCCAACCCCCCTCCCCACCAAAAAAAAAAAAAAAGGCTATGTAATTTTTTTGTGAAGAAAACTTATTGAATGACCATAAAATCCATCTTCCTAATGCATTCAGGTGGCACAATCATTTGAACCCAGACATTAGAAAGGATGCATGGACATTAAACGAGGAATTAGCGCTTATGAATGCACATCGAATACATGGGAACAAGTGGGCTGAAATTGCTAAGGTTTTACCGGGAAGGTACTTTGTGTTTGTTTTGTGATTCTTACAAAACACATTCGGGTTCTAAATTAAGATATTATCTTCATTTGCATGCAAACGAGTCAATGTTGGGATTAACAGTTCAGAGTTCTGATTTTTTTTAATTAAAAAAAAAAGATTATATACTTGAGAGGATCTGCAGATGATAAAGCCGAGAACTTTAGATATTGCAAGAATTTTTCATTGAAGTCCGCTTAAATAGCCATACAAATATGAACAAAGTTTAGAATTTTGAATTTAAAGTTGTCTATTATCGATTAGGATGTGTTTTATCTTGAGTATTAAGTTATGAATTAGGAATGAGGATAATTTATCTTGAGTCCTTGCTCTTGTCTTATATCCTCTATTCCTTTTAATCGGTTTTATATCTATCCCTCAACGTTTCTACTTCTCTTCTTGCTTCTGTCTCCTATATGCTGATCCTACTCCATCATCATTTGAATTCCTTGAATATTTACTATGTGCCAAAAAAAAAAAAAAAGATGAAAAAGATGTTTGACTAAGATGATCAGTTTTCTTGGTAGAATTTAGAAGTTGCAAAATATATTTTCTTTAGGTGACTATCCTAAATTGCCTGTTGGAGTTTAGCAATAAAGGTAGTGATAATTATAAGAGTGGTTGTCTGAATTTATTATTGAAGATTAGAATATGACTGGTATCACGTACTAATTTATAATTCACATGATAATCTTAATCTCATTCTTCTATTTGACATAATACCCTGTCTACAGGACCGACAACGCAATAAAAAATCATTGGAATAGTTCCTTGAAGAAAAAGTTGGATTTCTATTTGGCTACTGGAAATCTTCCACCTGTCAATAAGAGCAATCCCCAAAATGGTCAAAAAGATACAAATAAAACTGCTGCAACTAAAAGCCCACTTGTTTGTTCAAATAAAGAACTGGATTCTTCTGTCCATACAACGGGTACCACTGTCATGTATAAAATAGATGAAGATCGAAAGCACCAGTTAGAATCTCCTGGCCCACCTAGTAATTTGGATGGTTCATCAAGTGTTCTTCCAAACGAGTCTGCTGATTCTGAAGCTGAGCAATCAAAGCCAGGACCATCAAATATGGATCCTAGCTCATCAAATTCAGATGCGGTGTTAAAGTTTGAGACCTATGCGATCAGCAAAGAGCATAGGATTGAGAATTGTGTAATGAACTGTGAGCCAAAGTCTCTAAATTGTGGCATTGATAATGGTGGGTTTGACGCCAAAACAAATGAAGACAAAGTTGCTCGAACACCTTTGCCGTATCAAGCTTGGACACATGGTTGTTTGTACTATGAACCACCACAGTTAGAAGGTTGTACTCCTCTAGATTCTAGTCCATTTTCGTCACCTGTTAGTTTCTTCACTCCTCCTTGCGTGAAGGGAAATGGTTTGAGTTTGCCAAGTCCTGAATCTGTTTTGAAAATGGCTGCCATGAGCTTTCCCAATACTCCTTCCATCTTACGGAAGAGAAAGAGTAAAGCACAAACACCTTCGCTTCCTAATAAAATTCAGAAAGTAGATGAAGAATCAGATCGAAACTTGCTTAGTGCTTCTTCGGAACAGGACAGTTTGGAAATGCCTGAAAATCGGGATGGAAGTTTGTGCGAGAGTCCCACTCGTCATGGTACTAATTCCATTGCTCCTAATGGTAAGGCTTTCAATGCATCTCCTCCATACCGCTTAAGATCCAAACGAACTGCTATGTTCAAATCCGTGGAGAAACAACTTGAGTTCGCATTTGACAAAGAGCGCGAGGGAAATATCAAGTCTACAGAATTATCTGCAATGGCGAGTTCGCCTGTTGCTGAAGATTGCTCACATGCAACGAAGTTGGGAGTAAGCTAGGACTTGCATGGTAAGTTTTAATTTTTGTTCGGGTAGTTCTCATGCACAATAGGTTACTTAGAATGACAATTTTTGAAAGCTGCTAAGCCTATAAGTAGTCATAAATACTCTATCGATGCAATTTTGCATGGTCGTTCGTGATGTTTCCGATTCTGTTTCTGCTTGTGACATTGCAGCGGCGCAGTGGCACAACGAGGCTGAAGATTGGTTCTCATCAAGCTTTCACAACAATTTGCTTCTGAATTGGTGGCTGAAGCACCAATTCTTCAAAGCTATTTTGAAAGTGGCTGATTAGATGCTTAATTTAATTGGTTTTCGAATTCCACAAATCAATGGTTCTTGCAGATACACCGACGTGTTTTTAGTCACACGGGGTGATTATTCCCCTAATACCAACATGACAAAAAGTTCAATGGCAGTTAGGCTTCTGTCTTTTGTAGGATAGGTTCAAATTTATTGTGAAAATATGACTTGTACAGGAAGAAACCCCGCCGAAGAGAGGAGCAATGATGCTTGGAAATCTCCAAATGAAAGCTTAGCTCCTCATAATACTGCGTTCAACTTTAATAATTTTCAATGTCTGACCAATATTTTACAGGTAGAAGTAGAACTTCTTTGTAGCAGTAAGCAGTATACATAACTTTATTGCCCAGGTACCTCTGTATTTTAAAATAATTCAGAGTCTTGCTCTCCTTGGTGCATACTAATTTTCTTCTTCTCTGTCGGTATTTACGAGTTTTTTCTTTCCGTCTTTTGGATGTAAACACACTAGGTATTGAATTCCAATTCAAACTTTCAAATTATATCCTATTGGGCAAAAATATTAAGACACAAATATTACACTACGTAATTTCACTTATGTTGAAGTTTAATAACATAAGAGTTTATTATTTTTAAGTTTGATTCACTCAAAATTATAAGAAATCTTGACAAATACCCTTTAAAGATGTAGGGTTTTGATTTTTATCTCTTACCCTTGATTAATTCCTTTTTTAGCCAAATAATTATATTAACAAAAGTGTAATAATTAAGAGTAAAAAATAAAAATTTAGACCAATGCATAACCTCTTAATTACAATTTTTGGTATAAGAGAACATCTTTTGATTCCAATAAAAATGATAAAATTTTATTTGTATATATTTTTTAAAAATTTGGGTTGATTTGGAATTTGTGGTTGAGCTCGATAAATTTGACCGAGTTGTTTACATACCTCATCGAGATTCCTTTGTATAAAGTTTTCCTTTATTTAAGATTTGGCTGATTTTACATTCAAAGTTTGTATGAAATTTTGTTTAGAATTTTTGTTGGTAAAATTTTGCCTAAATTTTGGTCTAAAGTATCCATAAAATCTTCTTTTAAATTGTTTGATTTGCTTGTTATTCAAATATGTCCCTTTTCATGTCCCTCTTCCTCTTTAATAAGATTATGTTACGTCAATTAAAATATTTTAACTGTCATAAATTTTTAATTAACGTGATATAAAATTTTAATTGATGTGACACAATATTACTATAGTGATGGAAAATGAGACACGAATGCCACCAAACTAAATTGGTTATTTTACGTCAAATACAAACCAAACTAACTATATAGGGTGGTTTGTAGATTTTCAATCCAGTTTTTCTTGGATTGATGCACACCCTTTGCTACATCCGAAATTTTAACTGATGGAGAGATATTTTTGCTTTTAACGAAAAAAAAAATGTAATGGTTTGACTTACTTAAGAGATGTGATTAGTAACTTTTTTTTTTATTTTTTTATCTGGGGATGCTCTTAAAATAATAATTTGATTAACGAATGCTTCTGTAATTTAAGGGTTTTTTTTTTTTTATCTGGGGATGCTCTTAAAATAATAATTTGATTAACGAATGCTTCTGTAATTTAAGGGGGGGAAAAAAATGTGGCAGTGCAATTCTCCCACTAACAATAATTTCTACTAACAATAATTTCTAAGGGGTCGTTCGTTTACTCTAACCTAGTTTCTATTTTTTAGCGATATCCATTAAGGTTGCACTATTGCACCTCAAACTATTCGTTTTTTATATATCATAGATCGCCCAAACTTTAAATTCTAGTAAAATATATCATAAATTTTAAAATTAATAGCAATTAAAATCAAAGAGATGGTGACACTATTAAATTGACATTTTAAAACATGAGTTTTATATGACACAATTTGAAAAATGACTACATTTACTCTTTTTTTATACAAATTTTTATTTTAAACAGTTAATTTAATAAACATTCGTTACTTATTAGACTTCAATCGGTACTGATTCAAAATTCAGTGTAATTTATTAAAATTAAAAATTCAAGATTTATTAAAAAAAATGAATAATTTGTGATGCAACAATACAATTTACTCTTTCAAAAATTGAAATACGTCAGCTTTAGATTGTCTCTCTAGTGACTGCCAACAAAAACTGAAAGTAATTTTGTTCCATAAACAAAAGCATCGCAACAATCTCTAAAAGCAAGAAAAACAAAAAACAAAAAATAAAAAATAAAACATCATAAAATTCCTTTCATCACTCTTTC